TTTGGTACGTGATTTTTGTTTTGTTGTTTGACTGTCTATTGTCGGATAGCTGTTTGTTTATTCGACTAATTTGGACGAATAGCAAAAAACTATTAAATAGCTTAAAAAACTATTATTTAATAGATTTTAAACTTGTAGCTTAAAAATTTTAGTATTATATATATTTTTAAAAAAAAAAGGTTTTTTTAAAACAAAAAGTTATATTATTAACTCTTTCTAATAATCTCTTGTACCAAAAATACAACAAACTTTTTTTCTAAAAAACAGTAAACTATAGCAAAAAGAAGAAGTATAAGGCTGACCAAAACCATAAACTAGCACCTGTTATTTAGAGATAGTTCTCATACACTATTTGCTAATAGGCTCAAAGCTTATTACTCACCATGAAAATAGTATTTGTTATTTAGAAGTAGTTCTCATATACTATTTGCTAACAAGTTTAGGGTTTATTACCTATCAACAAGAAAGATAGCAGTTCACTTGGCTTTATATGTTCTACTACTTAGAAAAAAATATATGTTCTTTAAAAAAGAGTACAAAAGCTATTTTCTATACTCTTACCCACTTGCTTTTTCTACAAAATTTTTGTAAAAAGTAGGCAAAATAGCTTATCTTTATCAAAAAATTAGTATTGTTTACTCTGTTCAAATTTGAATGATCTAGTAGATTGCAACCACATGTTTTGTTTACTAATGAATATAGTGCTACTTCATAAGTCTAGACCTCTAGTTAAAGAAATATTTAAAAATAGTTATATAATCAAAAAAAAATTTATATATTAAAGCAAAGCTTTATAGTAGAGATATACAGATATTATATTTGTTATATAATTTTTTCAAGCCTCTCACAGGTTATAATAGTGAAATGCAAATTGACAAGCCAGAAAATAAAGATCCCCGAGTTGATACAAGCAAAACAAAAGCAATCCCGGTACCTATGGAAATCACTCCTCTTCATCCAATCGTAGCACTTGGAGGAAATACTCATACTTATAGACCAGAAGCAAAGAAAAGCGCCTCAACAAAACAAGATGCAGTTAACAAACAAATACAAAACATAGTTAGAGAAACCAAGGGCAAAATGGTTGAAATGGAAATCACTCCCACACAGCCATCCCCAGAAAAAATTAAAAACGATGTTGGTGCCAATTCTGAGCCCCAGAGTTTTTCTCGTAAAAGAAACCTCTTAGAACAAGGCAACAGAACGCACAAATCAGAAGACAATTCTAAAACAATTAAAAACACTCTATTACAAAATGAATGTGGTACTACAGACTATGGCCTTAATGAACAAATAGACGTCTCTTTTCAAAACAATAAAAAGTTAGCTACTAAGAAAAGCAACAAAAAGCCTAAATATTTTGAGGATATCTACAACTCAGCATGGGCCCCAGAAGGTGAATTTACTATACAAAGAAAAACAAACAATTCACAATACTTTTTCACAATATGGGATCTACCAAAAGACGCAAATACGGGAGTAATTAAAAAATATCTAAGCTATTTTGGTACTGCATCTATACTTGCTTGGCAGCAAAATTTCCAAACCAAAGCAGCATATATTAAAATAGCTACTAATATCGGAAAAAGAGAAGATTCATTAAAAGAGAACTGGTCTATTCACCTTGACCAAGGCAAAACTTACAGAACCACTCCTGGAAAATTTGATATCACTGAATTAGAGAGAAGGAACAAATACAAAGGCACAATCTATAATGTACCACCCACAGCATTTGATAGTCTGCTACTACGTCAGCTTAAAAAATACAAAATACAAGCGGTACATATACCAAACAACCGAAATGGAAACCAGAGCCAAAGAGCTCATCTTTACTTTAAAACAGAAGAGGATCTCTACCAAGCCCAAAAGCAAACTCTATACTACTACAATACCAAACTTGAATGGCAATCCCTCTCAGAAAACACAAATAGCAAAAACTCAATAGACTTGCAGACTCACTCTAAAAGAGTATTGAACGAAATAGACACGTCTAAAACCCAACGGCTAGAAAAAAAGCAAAAGTATAGCAACAACAAAGGAAAATCAAATAGGTACTATGAAGACAATAAAGAAAACAGCTTTGATCCTTGCAGTAGTGCTAGCTCTAAACCACAAGATCTACAAAGAGCCCCAAACAGAAATATTTACAACAAGCCAGGAAATAGCACTTCAAAAAGGACAAGAGAACCAGAAAACAAGAAAGATATCAAATTGCAAAGACCTGAAGAAGCAAACAATGAGATCAAATCTATGTTATACCAGATCATGAATAGACTTAGCGACTTAGAGAATCAAACACTTAATAGGGGTAGAGAATATCCTAACCACTCCTAAGGACACCCTAGTTGAACCAAACGAAACAAGCAATTTGTCACACCCCACGAACATCTTGCATATTAGAGAAGAGAATACCTTATATAATAGTGGGAATCATTCAAAGAATCTAAATACAGAAACTTTGCAAACAGCAAAATACAACAACCAGTTAAACATGATACAAGAAACAAACACTTTCAGAGAAAACGATAGCACAAACAACATAGAATCACCAAAGAACAGAGGTTCTAAAGATCTGCAATCACTTAAAAAGGAACTAGAGACAATAAACCTAGATTTTTTCAAAATCGGCTTTCATAATATTAATGGTATTAAAAATAATATTACAAAACTACAAGAAATGATTGACTTTGGGGATAGAGAAAACCTAGACTGTATAGGCATACTAGAAACAAATATCAACCAGAAAGAACTTACTTTTAGTAAATTAGATTTGAAACACTATAAGCTATATGGCACTCGAAAACAGATAACAAAAAAGAAAGGCTCAGGAGTAGCTTTTCTTATTAAAAAGAACTGGCACAAACACCTGGCAGAAGTAACATCTCCAGACACATATTCACTTAGATGCTCGCTCCTTTTTAAAGGACTTAATTTAATTCTTTGGATAGTATATATGCCACCAAATGATATTGAAGCCCAAAAAAAGATTCAGCAAAGAATAGCCCATGACTATTGTACTAAGAAGCAACATTCAAGAATAATTATAGGAGGAGATCTAAACATAAGAGAGTCACTAACCTCACCCCAACTAAACAATGAATGTTATAAAGTTTCTAACTCCCCACTTATGAAGTGGCTCAGACGAGTTGGCTTCATCGATACTCTTAGACTAATCCACCCCAACGGCAACAAATACACATGGTCAAATGGCAAATCTTACTCTCGAATTGACTATATATGGGTAGATACAGACCTTAAAAGTATTACCTGTGATAGTGATATAGAGGATATGGACCTCTGCACAGGGAGCGATCACCATTTAATCTGGGCAGACCTTTTTACACAGCCACTTATAGGTTCTAGACCTCAGAATAAGCAAAGAAAAACCAACCTAGAAAATAGGAAAATTTTCTTATATGACAAAGCCTCAGTAGAAAACTGGAGTGAATACAGAGAAGCTTTAGATAAATATATTACAGA